TATCCAACCCCAATGCTGTATCTAATTTCCCACACTACAGTCTGTTATTTTCTCTACTCTTCGTTCTCTCTGCTGAAGTCGCCCTAGATCGGAGAAGTTGACTTTGGACGTTGCTTTGGCAAATTAAAAAGACAGAGAACCGCTGCTGGCTCGGAGCTGCCAGTCACAGTTAGAGCTGACGTTCTTCACTAAATAAGAGCAGCTCACCTGAACAAAGCTCATTATTGATTTTAATCGCTATTAGCGTGGAGACACTGTCAGGCTGTGGCCGAGTTCAAACAAACTAGTTCCTGAGAAGGAGGAAAAAAAAAATCCAATAATGAAAGCTAGTTCCAGGAGAGGGCTTAAAACTGGAGTCTTTGTAAAGTGAGACTCTCTGAGGACTGGAATGCTAATTAGCACCTCGTCAACGTAAGTGTAAACGTCTCCAAGATTCCACCTAACGTTAATGTCTACACACTAATGTGTACTTTTTTTCTTCTTCTACTGACAAGGTGAAAACATCTTATTTATAATTAAACATTGTTTTGAATGCAATGCTAACCTCCTTAGCATTATGTGCACATTGTGTGTGTGTTTGTGTGTAGTGATGAAGTGCTAATCAGGAGCAGCCAATGCCAGTAAAATGAACAGCATGGTCAACTTTTATGAAGCTATTTATAATTAAAGTGATGATTAGCCTGTTGGTGTGTATTATGCTGCTGCAGTTCATATGTTCTAGTAAATAAACGCACAAACACACTCACACACGCACGCACACTCATGCACTTCTTTATTCCGACTGCATTTCCATTTTAATGTGGAAAAATAAATTAACCATGGGAAAGTTTTTTTGATGCTGCATTTACTTCAGTAAACAGCAGGTTGCTGGTTTACATCCCAGCTTCACATGTGCTAACATACGTACTAAATAAAAAAACTAAATAAACATTAATACTATGACACGATAGTATTACCAGTGAGAATTGTGTCCGTATCATCTTAAACACTTTATATTGACATTGCACATCCAGCTTCGTCAGAGATTTGCAGTTCATTCTTTTACTACTTATTCCCAGGTATATGAGGAACTGGAGCCAAAGCTCAGACCACTGGCCATGATGGAGGTTGAACCTCAGGACCAGTGGTCAGTGGTGAGTGAACAGTTTGACCAAATTCCTAATTGACATATTTCTGATTCCATAGAATATTAGTATTCTAGTGGCTCACTGATCTGGCCTGCAGGCAGACCAGTCGATCACATGACCTGTCCACTTCCTTAACCACTAATCCACCACTTTAGCAGGTACATCTGCTGAAAACAAGTTCAAACAACTCAGTTAACCCTTTCTGAATGATTGAGGATGTCTCTAACCTCCACAGAGAGCTAGCTTATTGTGGCAACAGGCTCAAGTCTCTTTGGGGTCGTGGGTTTGAATCCCATCAATGCCAGAGTTTTTATGGTTCCGCAGTGTAGCGGTTATCACGACTGCCTTACACCCATGTAGTGTGTGTGTGAAGGTTGCAAAGATTTAGACTTGGGACCAATAAAGGACTTTTTTATGTCATTTCTCCTGTGTATTAGTAAATACAAGGGCTGGAATAATTACTGCTTCAACCAACGTAATTCATTCGTGAAATTAATTAGAGTCTTGAAAGTTTTGAAAGCAACTCTGACACGTTCTACAAACATCAAGATGCACAGAAATAATTTACATCTTTGAAATATATGAAGCTGAACACAATTATATTATCAAATCTTCCCATTTTAATAATTAAATCATTGAGTCACAAATAAAAATAGATGTGAAACAACAACAGGTATTTAAGAATGTTGATTCATCTTAATTAATCATGACTAATTGTAAGCTTTCGTCGACCTTTTCCAATAATACTGTGGTTCAGATGAACTACCCAACGATATATTGTTTGTTATTTTGTTTGTTTATTGAATGGTTGTTCATTTAAGGCAGAGCCATCTAAAAGCTTCAAGTCTCCATGAAAGGCTGAAAAGTGCTGAGCAAACACACAGTATTTACTGTGTACCATAAAACTACAGTACATACTCTGGGCTCCTTGAAGTTTCCATTTGCAGCTCATGAGTGTTTTCAGAGCAGTAAGATAAACACAGCCACAAAAGAACTTCTGAGGAGCACTTAGCATCCAACAGGGGGCACTTATCTCCATCAGCTAATGTTTGGGCCTTGGTGTCATTAGACTGCACTTCTGGACAACCAGCTGCTCGTCCATGTCTGCAGCAAAAACAGGTTCTAAACTGTTGGTAGGCTGACCTGATGGTTGGTTGGTTTAGGTCATAATAATGATAATAAAACCATTGAGTTCCTTATTCGTCCCACGGTGGGGAACTTTACAGTCTGAGTCTCTGCAACTGACACAGGCTGCCACAGGAGGCGCCATTATACATAAATGTGTTTGCTCTGAGAATCAAACCGAGGACACTCTGCTCTTTGTTCACAAGGCAGGCGTGCTAACCGCTACAAGATTGAACAGTTGGTCTTATGACAACACTGAAATGTAACAGTGTCTTCATAGACACAGACAGATGATGTCATCAAGGTAAACATGTCCAGGGGGACATTGACTGTCATCCCAGAAATACAGCCACACCAAAACACACTGGCTTTGACATAGACACCATAAATGTCCTAGCCCCTCATTATAACCTAAAATATTACTAAATGTAAAATCCACTGCAACTATGACAAGAAAACAACTTTAACCCACTTCACTTAAACAGCACCACTGTGAACTGATGTAGTTTTTAGGTTGAATTCAGGGACAAGGTGACCATTTCAGTCCAGCTCAGCAGTAATGCTGCCTCTTCCTCCTCCTCCTCCTCCTCCCTCTCTCTGAGCCCATTAGTCCAACAGTCATTGATGGTTTAACAGCTCAGTTTGTTCCTGTAAAATGGCCTGACTTTAAAAACACTGTAAACACACTGACGGCTGAAGGTTAGACGGAGAACGACTGCTCCAAACAATCCACCTGTAAAAACCACAGCAGCTCCTGAACGCCACACTGATCCACTGTGGTTGACAACAGCGTTTTCCACAACAGCGTTCCCCACAACAAAGTTCTCCACAACAGCGTTCCCCACAACAAAGTTCTCCACAACAGCGTTCCCCACAACAGCGTTCTCCACAACAACGTTTTCCACAACAGCGTTCCCCACAACAGCGTTTTCCACAACAGCGTTCCCCACAACAATGTTCTCCACAACAGCGTTCCCCACGACGGCATTCCCCACAACGGCGTTCCCCACAACGACGTTCCCCACAACAGCGTTCCTCACAACAGTTCCCCACAACAGCGTTCCCCACAACACCGTTCCCCACAACAGCGTTCCCCCCAACAGCGTTTCACTGAAGACAACAAACCAACATTTGAACAAGACCTTGAAGCCACATGTACTGCAGACGACCTTAAAGGAAAACATTGTCTCCAGAACAAAGTGTAACCACAGCCGGACCAACAACGTTCCGACTTTGATACAGTTCAACTTAATGACCATCAGTTGTGTTGGTATAATTTACCCTGGAGACATTTTCTCCTCCGTCCAGAAGTCCAACAGTAACAGTCGTGACCTTCAGGTGTTCTGCCGTTTCCTGGCCATCGTCCAGTCCTACCCCAGAGGACCAGAGCTGGACATAAAGTCAACTTTCCAGGATGGTTCTCAATGACCTCCTCACTCTTTTCCTGACCTACTTTCACTGGTCCAGACCAAAGTCCTGAGCTGCTCCTCACTCATCAACACATTGTCTGCAGTTCACTGTGACTTCTTGGCCCAGACTCCATGTACTTGATGCCAAGTCAGTGTCATCTATCACTGCTGTCAGAGTCATGTGAGCCACAGGTTTAGAACCATTCTCTCAGTCAGTTTGTCTGTATCTTCTCACTCCAACATATTTCAGTTTGTTTTCCACCAATCAAATCGTTTCATTCCAGAACGTTGGCTCCCAGTCTGGAGTGGATCAGTGTTGAAGTGAATGAAGACTGACAGCTTCAACTAAGTAGTTCATTATCACTGACACTCAGTAAATTATACTTTATTTCTTTATGTGGTGGACCACATGTTGGGCCACATGTTGGACCACATGTTGGACCTCATGTTGG